TCCTTATATAGGCAACACTTCCATATAGGGAAAACCAATGATGTAGAAATATTAGGCGCCAATATTTGCAGTTCGCACGAAGGATCGATCTGTAGCATTCTCGAAAACGTCGAGCGAATATTCGAATATTTTGGTAAATTTCAGCATGCGACATACAATCGAGGAGAAACGAAAGATGCGCAATGGCAGTAAGAAGAGAAAGCAACATCAGAAATCGCAGTTGAAGCGCGCGGCGCTCATAGTATTAAGAATTAGAAGATGCACTTCGTGATGTCAAAGGAAAAGCTGAGTCAAGCTGGCTGGGCAGCACGGGAGCATTGCTTCTAAATATTACAAATTTGGGGAAGAAGTGATGACGTCAACGAAAAATTACAAACTAAGTTGGACAACAGGGCAAGCACTAATAAGGTATACTCAATTTTTAATACAAATACATTTCATCAATCCTTTTATTAATGCACCTATTGATGTTAAGCCCCTGGGTGGGAGGTCGGGCATTTAATTTGTCATGCAATTTTTTGGTCAAATTCTCTAGCATGGGGAAGCAAATATCAGTCAAATATGATCAAATTCCATATTGTTGGGCACATAAATTTGTGGTGAAAGGCTTGAAAGTCGTTTGTCCCAGTCCTCAACATGTGCTCTTCCTTAGGATACAAGATGGTGCTCAATTCCTCGGGAGATGGTGTCGATCAAATTCCAGAGGGTGGGGAAACACAAATCCATCAAATACCCTACATATCATATGCATTTAAATGTGCATAAATATAACTACAGTATATAAATACTGTAAACCTCTGACAATAAGCCCCCCTGAATACCCCCATCTACAAACCCATCACATTGCTAACACACCATTCCAAATATATGCCCCCCCCCCCACATTTGTTTATCACTATTACTATACTTGTTTATCACTATTATACAGTAACACAAAAATCACTATTACACTAACACAAAATGTTGTCCATGTATAAGCCCCCCCCCCTTTATATAAGCTCCCCTGTGTACAAGCCCATCAAAAAACATGTACAAACGAATATAAGCCCAGGGCTTATATTCAGAGGTTTACAGTATGTCCATATCAATATGCCATTACCTATATTTATACAGCTAATTCAGAAAAGGTTGTCCTTTGCAAACCTTAAACTTGAAACCTTAAACTCTAAACGTGCAATGTATAATGGGAGGCCGAGCATCATTTAATCTGTTTATAAATCATAGATGGAGCCCATTTCTTAGAGACATGGTGAGCATCTCCTTACGAGAACAATTCATTCACAAGTAGCTGGAATATTCAACTACTAAGCTTGAAAGTTGCAACTTGTACTCCCATTAAGGTTTGCACACTTATAGTTTAAGGTTTGGAAAGGACACCTTTTTTGAATTGGCTATATATATATATATATATTCATTACCTTTGCCTGGAAGTCTCATTCTTACGATTCAAGATGAAAGGCAATTTCACCAATTTGCTTACGATTTTTGAGAATGAGACTTCCTGCCAAGAAGAGAATCATGACATACTGTAAACTATATCAAAGGGTTTGTTGGTCACACTATTAGCTAAGATAAGAATTAAGGAACTAAAATATAAATATAAAGCTATAAAAAATCCATCAACCCAACCAAGTTCAATACCCCTTGATTACAAAACCTGGTATGGCCATACAAATCACTAATAAATAGTTATTAAATTTCAAATTAAAGGTAACTCAGTTGAACATGTCCAGCTGAAGTACTTGTACAGTGGGTATTACAAGTCTATTCAACATGAAGAATTGGAGGAAATTAGCAATGAATCAATAGGGAATGGAGTTTTTGGCAATTGCTTCCATAAAAAAAAATCATTAGATTAGGAATAACAGTTGTTGAAAAGCAGTTGACTGACAGCACTGCTGATATGCTATGAAAAGAAGCAATATTTTTGCCAAAATTGTCACACATATGTATCCCATTGTTACTTGGGGTGCAGCTACAGTAGACAAAAAGCCAATCTCCCTGATAATGCAATTTATTGGAGAGAACAGTCATCTATAACAGTGTTCAAGTTGCTATTTGACCCACTGTACCAACATCAAGCTTCAGAAATGCCAACCACAACATGGTTCTGCATATGTTATGACATCACTGATGCACTTGACCACATGCACCAAAGAGGATATCTCCACTGTGGCTTGAAGTCCAATAATGTGTTGGTCGCACAAAATAAGGGATACCTAATTGACTTTGAGAAAGTTTGTGACATATCTCTTGACCAATGGCGATGGAATACAGGAAAGTGTACAAACACATTGCACCAGAAGTCCTGAAGGGATCTTGTGTTACAACTGCCAGTGATATGTATATTCACTCAGGAGATTCCGTAAGGTAATTGGGCAGCACAATCCTATTACAATTAGCAAATGCAGCTACTGATATTAACCCCACAAAAAAGACCACTCTTTTGAAAATATTGACCATGTTGAATGCAGAGAATATCCACAGCTGAGATGCATTAAAGAGGCTCTACAAAATGAAGTACAGTATAAATCAAAAGTTAAGTTGGATAAAGTAAACAAGATTGATAACCAGGATAATATTTAACTGGCTAGGTTTCAATGTGCTCTACTTTGTTATTTTACTCTGTCTAATGCTAGATGATTTTAGTGTTCAAAGGGAAAGTGTGGGGCATTAATGGCATAACTTGGCAACAGGTTGTAGCAAGGAATTAATGAGTAACTTATTTAAATAACATGCACAACTTAATAAAATCTAATAACTTGTATAAATTATGTGAAACACAATCCTAGTGAAAACTCTTGTGCTGTCAAGATGAATCGTCTTTCGGCAGCTGGTTTTCAAGATATTGTGTCTTTCGGCAACCAGTTGGATCTTGACTGTGTTTTTATTGGTCCGGTATTTTCTAAATATATACGGTAGCTAACATACAAGGAATTAATAATACCTTGTTTAAATAATATAAATATAAATATAAATAACTTAATAAAATCTAATAGCTTGTATAAACTATGTGAAACACAGCCATAGTGGAAACTCTTGTGCTGTCAAGATGAATCGTCTTTCGGCAGCAGGTTGTCAAGATATTGTGTCTTTCGGCAACCAGTTGAATCTTAACTGTGTTTTTATTGGGTATTTTCTAAAGATATACTGTAGCTAACATGCAAGGAATTAATGAGTATTGAGTACACCTTGTTTAAATAATATAAATAACTTAAAATCTAATAGCTTGTATAAACTATGTGAAACACAGCCATAGTGAAAACTCTTGTGCTGTCAAGATGAATCGTCTTTTGGCAGCAGGTTGTCAAGATATTGTGTCTTTCGGCAGCCAGTTCGATCTTAACTGTGTTTTAACTAATATAGAGTTATATAAATAAATTATTAATAAATTTACTATTATTAAAATGCAGTATAATCACATAGCATTAAAATTGAATACAACACTATTAACATTATCAAATCAATAATAATACAGTATATAAAGTTATCAAAAGTTGACTGCACAGGGCAAAAATTAATATCATGAATGGCCCAGCTAGATGGCAAAGCTACTTTAACCCATTAAGCTGCAGAGCTTCCCGATTGACAAGTAAAATCGTCATGCGTTAGACAAGTAAAAAAATAAGTAGGGTACAGAGGGGCGCATTGCGCTCAATGGATTAACTAGCTCTAGAAGCAGAACTGAAGTACGGTAATATACATTGTCAGAATTTTTGGTTAACCCATTAAGCTGGGCGCACTGGAACACATTGCGGCTCAATGGGTTAAATATGGATATACACAGTATATATTGAATAGCTATCCAGATCTAATGGAACATGAAATAGGTTTGAATAGTACTGAAATGTAAGTAGGCTCTCGCCATTCTTAGGACCTTGAAGTCCTACATATTTTAATAAAGAGCACCACAATGAGTGAATACACCATAAGATGTAAATGTTTGTATCATATGAAATTGATTCTTCAATTAAATGTATTAAAACAAGTGGAGACAAGGCCATAATAAGCGTTCTTGTCTCCACAGTCTTGTGTTTGGTTCTTGGTAAAAATTATAGAATGTATTGCAATGGATTTTAGAACCTAGATTGCTGCCACTATTAAATTTGTATGTTTATATGGAATGTATCAGGACATCTGGTTGGCTCACATTAAAGTGCAACTCTCAGAAGGTAAGATATATGATTTACTCCTAGAATTTTGTGAGTAAATCTGTTTACTAGCGACCAGGGAATATGGGCTATGGCCATTGTTAGAATTAGTATAAACACAAGCTAGAATCCTTCCTAATACTGGCTTTCAATGACAGTATTATAGAATTTTATATTAATGCCTATAAAATATAATATAAAACAAAGCTCAACTACAAAGCCTTAAAGGTTACACTAGGAAAACAGTACCAATAAATAGAGTACAAACCTTTAAAGGTGATCTACAGTCCGATCTGCGCATGTGCACAAATGAGCCCACTTTTTATGATACAAACAGTTTAACTATGTTTTGAGTTCTTGAAAAGCCTGATTGTTGTTTCTTGATCATTTATTATACTCTAGAAGCTTGAAAATATAAATAGTTGTCGAATAAAGCTCAATATTTTGGACACAAAAATGTAAACAAAGGCTTTGTTTACATACGGACTGTAGATCACCTTTAAACAAACTAAAACCACGATCGGTATTAATACAGAAACAATTTCTTGCCAAAATCTTCGATCTATCATGTATAAAATAAACACCACTCTCATCGACGCCATGTTCAAAAAAAAAGACGGAAATTGTACGCCTAAATTCGCTACTTTTCCAAAAGGCACTGGAAACTAATAACTTTTTGACCCAGTCATTAACTCACCTGAGCTCCGAGTGAAAGCCGCGATCAATTTCAGTTAGGAGAGGTTGCATCAACTGACAATGCCTTGAATGCATCGACTGCCAGTGCTTCAACAATTGTTGAAAACATTCAACCTCAACGAACCCAAGTATGTTTGTGATTTCATGTTTTGTTTATTCCTTTATTAATGTAAAGTCCCATGACCGGTCAATATACCTGAATGTTACATAATGGTGCAAAGCATTAAGAAAGCGAGGATCCATCACCACTTTCCGCAAAGCCTCCATTGCCTTGGAACCCTTATCCATCAAGGTCTTGTTTTCTTCAGTGGAAACAAGAGGACCATGTGTGCATTCACCATCTGCCCATTCGTGTTCACCAACAACATGATGTAAAACTCCAAACCAGCTGTCCTAAAGTGTATTCATTAAACCAATAAGCTCCAATATGCCCTACTTTATAAGGCAAATAGTCCCAATAGTTTCCAAGTCTGATTTTCCACAGAACATTTGGAAAAGTGATGTGCAATGTTCACTATTTGGTCCAGTATTTTCACACTGTTAATTCAAACCCTGATTAATATTAACTATAATATATAAGGGTAACATTCTAACGTGAAAGTTAGTACTTTCCTCACCTTTAATTTCTCTGTGTTGCCCTTACTTTCTTGTGCAACATACCAGAAGTGGTTTCGTATTGGCTCGGTCCACTCGCTTAGTACCTCACAACCCTTAATTTTTGCAGCCTAAAACCAAAAATATTCAAACCGAACATCTCAATTAGGAAAATATGACTCTATAGCGAAGATGATGTACTTTCGCAGACACTCGAGAGGATTTTAGGGTGTCAGCATTTGACCAATGTTTGTAGCTAGAAATTTTAGTTAAACTTTTTTTGTCTAAAATAATCCTCCCCCCATGTTCAACACTTAAAGGGATTATGTTTTATTTAATTTAATGATTACTGTATATTCCTAAATGACACAATAACGTACAGTATATTGTATAAGGGAGTGAAGTTAAATATCACCTTTGACAACTTCTTTGTCAACTTTACAGATTTGTGCCAAATGTCAAGCGCATGAAACAGGTTACCAAATTCATTAGGATACTTATCTAAAAAATCCATAAAATATATTTAATTAATTAACCCATTTATAAGAGCCAGCGCCATCTCCCCTTGATGAACAGGATTGTCTATGAAAATCATCTGGCATTAGACAGAGTAAAATAATAATGTAGGTGCATTAGGACACAATGCATTAAAACATAATTGGAAGACATGAAATAATTTTTTTCCTGCACCTAATTTTCATGTTTTAATCCATTACTATTATTATACCTTTCATTCTTCTAACCAGTGCGGCAACTGCCGTGGAAGCATCTGTCACAATTTCTGACACAACAATCTCACCAACAACACGTTCCAACAGTTTTTTCAGTCCAAAAACTTCCATATTGGTTGACACCCCACCAGTTTCACGCTTGTCTACAACTTCGATATCTACGATTACATTGACAAACTGCTCCATAAGTACATACACACAATACTTAGCACTGAAACCTGGTGAATCATTTCGGCCATCACCGCAAAGAATGATGCTTTCCCCAAAAAAGATTTTCCATATCGATGCCTTCATGTCTTTCCAAAATCTCTTGAACTCAGGAATCACATACTTCTTTTGGATTCTCATAAAAGTTGACCTTGAGATGAATGACAGACCAAGAAATTTGCAAAATAGTGCAAACTTTTCATAATTGCCACCTGTTATAATAATTGCTGCAGCTATCATTATGGTAGTGGTGTACACATTCTGTTCCTTCTTTACGCATAAAACCTTTGATGACGACCAGACCCCACCATGACCATGACAGCATCTCCATGTGATTATTAAAACACCCCCATCAGCTTTCCAATTTTCAACTCTACTTTGTCCAGTACATAGATGCATTTGGCTGGTGTTCCGTCAACTAGAGCTCCCGATTGCTACTCGCTACCAACCCTCATTCTAGCAGCCCTACTGACATATTATTAGGGTCAAGCATGGCGGTCTGTTCGCGGCTGCTTGTTAAAGTTATATTTTATTCAATTTTATTGATTCTGCTTAATATCAAGGCTTACAATAATGAATCTATGCAAGTGTACAACCTCAGGGAGAACTTTCGGGCTGTTAGCGAATTGTCTCGTCCAGTATTCAACGACATTTGTCATCTAAAACGTCGACGATCGTCTCAGCTCGCTGATTCTACGGCAAATTTTAAAGCGACCAAAGTTATTCATCTTACAAGGGATATGTTGTTGGTAACGTTACTAAAACTCTGTGGTGATGTTGCTCTAAACCCTGGCCCTGTTCAACTAAATTTGCAATCGCCAATATCTAAAGGTTTAAAGATCTGCCACTGGAATATACAACGGCTTACAACAACCAAACAAGACGAAATAAAGATTAGCCTCACGGAAAATTCGAACAATTCTAACAAGATCGATATTCTGTTTTTATCGGAGACATTCTGCACGAACAAGACTCCTGACTACCTATACGCTATCACGGACTATAAATTATTTCGTAAGGACAGAATAGGTAAGCTCGGCGGAGGGGTTATGGCGTTTGTACATAAAGATCTGGAAGTTGAACGGCGAATCGATATGGAGGACGATGACTTAGAGGCACTGTGGCTAGAAGTTAACCCGCACAAATCTAATAGATCATTGTTCGTTGCTGGGGTATATCGTCCGCCATCATCGAATGTAGATATGGACAAGAAACTTGGTAGAAATATTGAGAATGCGAAACTGCGTAATAAAGAGCTTATTATCATGGGGGATCTTAACGTTGACTATATGACACCTGAAAAGTTTTGTAAACAAAAACTAATGAAGAGCTTGTTGAATCTTAATCTGTCCCAGTTGGTAAATCAAATCACAAGACCTATGTCGCAATCATGTCTGGATCATATATGGTGCAGTCACCCAGAACGAATCAGACAGGTAGAAGTGTTGTCATCAGGTATGTCTGATCATTTACCTATAGTTGCTGTAAGAATATACAAAAAATTGAAAGACAACAAAGGTGAGCATCATAACATTACGTATAGGGACTTAAGGAATCTGAATGAACAAGCTTTTTGTGAGTCTTTGTCTTCCGCTCCATGGGATTGTGCATTCACTTTTGATGACCCCGATGATATTGTTTATGCATGGTATAATATTTTTAACAGTATTGTTGATCAACACGCACCATTGAGACAAAAACGAGTTAAAAGAAAGTCTCAACCTGATTGGTTTAGCAAAATTCTTGAAGATGTGCTAAAGAAAAGAGACAAGCTACTCTACAGAGCTAGACAATCACAATCTGATTCCGACTGGTCAGCTTTTAGAAAGGCGAAAAATAAAGCCACTAATTTGTTACGAAAAACTAAACAAACGTATTTTAAGAATAAAGTGGCCGAAAATAGAAACGATCCTAGAAAATTATGGCGCTAATTCGCGAACTCGACGGCGTGAATGTCAAGGAAAATTTTACATGGCGTTTGAATGACGGTGACAAGTTAGTATCGGACAAGTATCAAATTGTTGAGATGTTTAACTCATACTTTATCGAACTACCGAAATCAATTTTCACTGAATTAATTAATATAACTGGAGACTATATTTCCCCAGAGAAACGAGTTCACTCGCAGCTCGAAATCCCCCACATCACACCTGAGCAAGTGAATGATTTTCTGGATCAAATTCCTGTAAATAAAGCTACCGGCCCAGATGGTGTAGGTATACGGCTTCTCAAGTTAGCTGCCCCTGTAATTTCAGAATCGCTCAGCAGAATAATTAATTCCTGCATAATAACTGGAAAATTTCCAACAAAGTGGAAAGAGGCGAGCGTTACACCTATCTACAAGGGTAAAGGTTGTAAAAGTGAAGCCTCAAATTACAGGCCCATATCAGTGTTGTCCGTCTTGTCTAAGGTGTTTGAAAAGCACATTGCGTCATCATTGCGTGCTCACTTGAAGGAGAACGCCTTGTTGTATGGATTACAATCCGGCTTCCGGAAGTCATTTTCCACTGAAACTGCATTAATAAGGCTTTTGGATCAGTTGCTTTTCAACCTTGATGAAAACTGTGTTAGCGGTCTGGTCCTCGTTGATTATAAAAAAGCATTTGATTTAATAGACCATAACATCTTGATTAAAAAGCTTTTTTCATATGGAGTACATGGCCAGTCTCTGGAATTGTTCAAAAGTTATCTTTCTGATCGATCCCAATATGTCAATGTGGACGGTGTTAAGTCATCCTCTAGGCCTGTCGAATGTGGTGTGCCCCAAGGATCTATACTTGGGCCCATTTTATTCATTATATTTATTAACGATCTTCCAGATCAGATTAAACATTCTGTTGCTGATATTTATGCTGATGACACGACGCTTAGCTATGCACATGATTACTCTTCTGCCCCTCAGTCAATTACGGTTGAATTACAGAAGGACATTACAAATCTTGCAGATTGGTCAAGAGTTAATCATATGGTTTTGAATGAAGAGAAAACTAAAACTCTTCTGATCGCCGGAAAGCGCCTGAAGAAGAAAATGGACACACTTGATATTGATCTTATGCTGAATGGGAAAAAACTCCAACAAGTCACCTCGTTTAAATTGCTTGGAGTTACGCTCGATGATGAACTGAGCTTTGATATACATGTTGACAATATATGTAAGAAACTATCTCAACGAATCGCGGTACTCTGTAAAATAAAGCGTTGCCTCCCATTTAGAGAACGCTGTCTTTATTATAATGCTATGATAAAGCCTATCATTTTCTATGGTTCAGCTGTTTGGACAACAACCTCGAAAGAAAACCTAAACAGAGTTTTTAGGTTACAGAAAAGAGCAGCTCGGGTTATTTTAGATTTGGACATGTCAGCGCGAACAGTTAACATGTTTCAGCAACTAAACTGGATACCATACTACGACGAAGTGAAGATTCTTAAAGCAACAACAGCCTATAAACATATAAAGAATGATTCTCCGAACTATTTAGATGATATGCTGAAACTGAATTCTAGTGTAAATAGTAGATCCACTAGATATTGCAATTTAAATTTCCTATGCCCTAAATATAAGCGAGAAACCGAAGGTGGTCGTACATTTGCCGTTTCGACCATAAAACAATGGAACCAGCTGCCTAAGACTGTGCGTGATAAGGGGACGGTGGCTTCGTTTAAACACAGCATGAAACAGCTTTTTAAAGAGAGCTATGAAAACATCGATCATTTTACTATATAATCTTCGGATTTTAGACGTATGTATATATAGTATTTTATAAATTTAGTACTTAGGTTTAATGTTATTTGTATAATCCATTGAGAGCCACAAATTTATCAGTGCAAACTGGCATGTGTAACTCTCGTTAAATAAAGTCTTCATTCATTCATTCCTAGCTGGGGACCTCACTAACAGTGCAACTTGCTTTTCCACTTTTGCAGATGTAGACAAGGAGTCACTGACAAAGATTGGAACCTTCGGTCACAATGCATCTGACACTTGGAAGTCATGGAAATACTCGGATAGGGTTAAAGTAGCCAATGCCATTGAAAAATTCAAAAAGAAAATAAAGCATAAAAATGTTTCAGCCAACACCAAAAGATCAAATATAACATAATTTATTGCCAAGCAGAAAAGCCGGCAAGAATTTGTTCCTTTGGTGGCTGAATTGGTTGACCGAGCACATGTTGAACCGCTTCATTTAAAAAATAACGCCTGTGCATTAGCCCATCGCTATTCTTTAAATCAAGCGATTGAAATGTCTAAACCTCATTTATCAACTTCTTTTTCTCAGGTTCCACCAGAAACTCCATTGTTCAAGTTCATTGATGTTTTAAGATCCAAGTGTAATTTGAATAGGCTGGAGAATTATAAGATGGTATGATGATAATGCTAAGACAGATGCAAGGACGTTCAATTATCGATTTACAGGTAAGGACTAGCGAATGTTTTTGCATAATTTTATGTTTCTCATCAATGTACTTGAAAATGGTGTTTCTGGTAAAGCTGCTGAATTGCTTCATGTGCATGCCTATCTCTGTCTTTGCTTGGGAAATGCTGTTTCTTTGTTCAGTTGTGTGAACATTACAGACAAGCAAATAGTTGAATTAAAACAACACTGTACAAATTTTTATCGTGGTTACTGGTTATTCTTCAGTGTTAATCCTACAGTATGGACCCTGGGATGTGTTGTTCCAGTTCACACCCAAGAAATTAAGCAAAGTTATGGATTGGGGCTTGGTTTAAATTCCATGGAGGGTAGGGAAGCAAAGCATATTGCAATTTCAAAATACTGTCTAAATACGGTATATGCACACCGATGGGAACAGGGTTTCCATCATGAGTATATTTCTCTTATTTGGCCGAGGACCCATGGTTATACTAACGTTAACATTAATAGTTTTTCTACAGGCAGTACTCTTTCATATCTCCCAAAACGTGTGCGCAGTAAAGACCCTAACTATTGTGTTTGTGGTTGCAAAAGGTAGCTTCAGTTGACTTGTGTAAATTTTGTGGTCATGGACTGAGGAAAAAGAAAGAGAAAAGCATCGAGATATGTAAGTCAATTCTCTAAATTATATATAGTGTAGCTCAGTTTTAGTTACTTTACCCTAAAGAGAGAGAAATTTGGATGTTTCAAGCAAAGGTCATATGTCCGGATGCAATTAGCGTGGTGCTGTTATACAGTACATTTATTCAGTTAGTTATTTTTATTTGCAGTTTCATTTCCTATGAAAGTGCTTTTAGTGTCAAGTATGTACTATTTTTCAAGTTTGTAGTATTAAAAAGTGTACTGTATTTTTCTGCGCACTGCCATTTGCATGGAATGTCCAAGTTAGTCTCGCTGTTTTCAAGCAGTTAACTCTTTAATTAATGAGCAAACATCCCCATGTGCCTTACCGTGGTATTTATGCTCTGTCTAAAAGAGTTTTGGATGTTAATGGGTTAATGTCCAAGGAAACGAAGTAAAACCTCTGTATACTTACTGCTACAACTATATCTATACTGGTCCCCGCGCCACATATCGCATTTAGGATTTCATTCATTAGTATCTGCCATTATGTCCTGTCAACCTTTAATTCGCCCCCATGTGCCTTACTTTGGTATTTACTCTGACTAATGCCAAACGATTTTACTTGTCAAGGATAGAGTCTTGAACGTTAATGGGTTATTTGTTAAAGGAAACGAAGTAAAACCTCTGTATACTTAATGCTACAACTATATCTATACTGGGCCCTCCTTTTGAAGTTGCTTGTGTTTCAATTGGTCATTCGTGCAATTTGATTGGTCAAAAACAGTGTGATTTAGTTGTATAATTTTTACAACCAATGAGATTTAATTCTAGGAATTAGGATTGAATTAACCAATTAGTTTTGCTATTTTACGACGACATAAAGTTTATAGAGGTTTAAATAATGCAGTTGACGTTACTAAGTTTGTTATTTGTGCCTAACGGCTGCTATTGAGGTAGGAAACCCGGAGAAAACCCAATGAACCAAAGGAATGAACCAACTAAACTCTGCTTAAATTATTTTATTAGCACACGGAAGCTACTCCACCGACGTTCCATGTCTTGACCGCTTTTGTCACTTGCGCTGCCCAATTAGTTTCGAACTATTTTTCGTCTTGTGTTTATACTAGAAACGGATGATCCGTCAGATGAATGATGCATCTTGGCGGATGATCTGTATCTAGTATAAATCGGGCCCATTTGTCATATGGTATATTAGGTTGTTAACTGTTAACAGGCTATGCCTTTGAGAAGTGAGAAGACACAGTCACTTGCCTGTGTTTCAATAATAGCACTATATTTAGATTAAACATTGCATTGCATTTTAATTTTAGCTATGGCTGGTCCGGTGTTAGGGATGGGGCCAGTTGTACGGTCTGGAAAAGCTTTGAAACCATAAATAAATGAAAATAACCAAAATAATTTGATTTATACAAATCAACAGCCAATTTAAGATAACTTGAAAAATCACTATTTGGTGGATAGCTCTATCTGGCCTTCGTACAACCAGTCCCCCTGCCATGGTGCCGTATAGGTTGCTGACCTTGTGTTGAGTTGCTCATCTTGTGTCATGTTATGTCCGGTTGCTCGTTTTGTGTTAGGACAGGTACAGTATACTGTAAATCCGACGAGTTGTCAGGTAAGTTCAGTTGATTGGAAGTATGTGCCTGAATAATTTGATGTGGATTTTGTATATTGCCCTTTGCCTGTCATAGGGGTAAATGAGTAGGAATTTGACCAAACACAAAAGTTTTTATCAGTTTTACAACTGCGTTTTGTGTGCTGTGAGATTTAGTGTTTAAGCGAATGTAAAGCATCTTTGACCAATTCAATCAACTTCCAGCTTGTTTGGTCAACTTTGTATTCAATTTGTTCGGACCTTTGGTTCTCGAGTTGCAACAGTGTGACAATAGCTTTGATTGTTTCGACTGGCGTCAGTAATAATTTGACCCAAATAGCAAATAGTGCCTGGGCCAGTCTCTGTTGTAATTAATAATAAGAAATCGTGGGAAGGACGGAAATAACAAGCAATTATACAGACGTACAGAGTTTTAACAAAATCTATTTACTAAACATCTCCATGAACAATATTAATAATCTCTATAAAGTTGGTGACCTTTTATATTCGCAGCCTGTTTATTTTATGTAAAGTTTCTGGACCTAACTCAAATCTGCTTCTTGCTTGTCTTGCCATGTTGCTGAATGCTATACCTGCAGTATATACAGCACATCATTCGCTTTCGTGTTTTACTAAATATACATCACCGGGCTTTTGGAACGAGGTTGTATATCTGATACAATACGAACGCAAATGCTGTAAACCACCAGTACATTGCTAAACCTAACCATTAGCATTCTAAAAGTAAAATATTAAATATTCAAATTTTCAAGTAAACAAAGAAGTGATTTCAATTTACGAGGTAAAATGAACTGTAAGGACAAAAATGTTCAAGTCAGTTTATGTCAGCTATGTTTTACCCTATGTAAGATAAATACCGGCACTGATTAAGCATACTTTTTCATTTTCTTTTCTAAAGTGAATTATTCAGGCAATCTGGGTAACAAATTCAGTATACGCATAAGGAGGAATGTGGTTTTATAAGCAAAGGCTAAGCCAAGGAGTAAGAAACGTTTGTGTGACAACAGCAGCAGACTTGTAGCTAGTCTAATATATAATAGTAACTCTTCAAAATAATATTAACATGGTCATGAATGCGACCTAAATCTTAACATGTTAAACTCCAGATGTGCATAGACAGTCTATAGACAGTGATCGGGACATATCTCGAGTGATAAAATTAACTATAATAAACAAATATTTTTAGTTAATGTATAACCATAATTCCTACATCAGGGAAGCCACAAAACTGGAGCTTAGAGATTCCAAGTAAAGTGTATGTGGTATACCACACACATTGCATATTACAAACCTAGAACTATCTTAATTTGACAAATCTTAATTGAATGATAGATACAAGGTTTATTTTGCCAATTCATTTTCTTGGCATATGAAACTGGACAAATTGCCCTGCTATACTATTGTAAGTTACTGTGTTAGCATATTGTGCATAACATAGTAATGTTTTACTGAAATTCGGTGTTCAGCATTACTAAGTAATAGTTTCAGTGTTCATCACTGTTCAGATTGCCATGATGCAAATAGTTGATTATAGTTTGTAAAAATATTATATTAGAAGGACTATGTGCATGTAAAGCACAAGAACATTGAATGCATGTTCTCATCCTAGGTTATATTTTTATATAATTTTTACTTAAACGTAACTTATGTAAATCCATTGTATTTCATCAAAGATGAATATCAAACACTATAATTATTATCATTGTATTGATTGTATTTCTATTGTGTGCAATGTACAATGACTCTTGCCTTCACATTGGTTGAGACAAGAAAATAAAGAACTGATTCTAAATGTGTGGTTGTGAATAATTAGTTCAGGCAAAATGTATACCTTTGAATCTCTTGTTTGTAGCTGAACAGCATGTGCATGTAGTGCCAGCTCAACATCATACATCGAGTTAAAGGCTTTCTAAGGGCACCTATGGCAGTATGGCTGCCACCTTATGACTCATGTCTGATCATGCAGCACAGCTGTGATTGAAGGATTAGTTAGGGCATAACCACAACTCACCCTGTCAACCTTCCCCCATGGGAGGAAACCGGTGTCGCAGCGGATAGTGTCCCCCGCAGAATGTGTCCCCCCGGACACTATCAGCTAGCGGATTATGTCCCCCCGGACACTATCAGCGACGAGGATAGTGTCCCCCCTAGCGGATACTGTCCCCCCATAAAACTACTGATGTAAGGTTTTATTAGGTTCTGGGTTTTATTGATAGAATTTACTCTATATAATTATTAAGTTTACAGAAATTTACACTAATCTAAACCTTTTCAACGGTCACATCAAGAAATTGAATAGTAATCTTAATTAAAGGTACTTACCTGTCGAAATGTTCAGACCGAATCATACCAATAGAAATAAATATAGCAATATGATTTTCTTATCATGAATTTAAATTGAAACATTGTTATTATCAAATACATCGAGTAAATGAACTAAATGACTCCAAAAAAACAACGGCGCACAATGGCTACGTACCCAATGGCTGGATTACTCAAAAACATTCCACGCATTCCGCGTAAACAAAAGCACAATGGCTGGATGACTCACATGCATAAAAACACATAGAAAGCAACTGACATGTATATAGAGATGGTCTTTACAGACTACAGTTGCCCACTCGCCATTGTATTGAGAGTAGGCTGCAAGCTTTTAGTTTGGAGAACGAGTTAACATTGTATCAACAAGTATATGACTATCTACAAAATGACAAATATCCGGATGAGTTTAGCAAATCCCAAAAACGCGGCTTGAGATGGAGATCCCAAGACTTTGTTGTTCAAGACGGGGTATTATTCTATCAAGGAAAAAACAAGGAATCTCAACCACGACGCTGGATAACGGAGCTTAAGCAAAAGCAACAGATATTAGAAGGATATCATTCAAGTCAACTAGCTGGACATTTTGGTCGCGACAAGAGAAGAGAGAAGGCGAGTAAGCTTTTGTTTATATGAAAAGATATATATAAGGATTGTTTTTTTGCTTCTTTTTCTTTTTGATGATGTATGTAGTATATAGAGTTGTATACTTACGTCTTCTTCTGTTTCTAAAATAAAGGTTGGGACAAGGTATTACTGGTTATCTGTTATCGAAGACTGTGCCGATTTTGTAAGAACCTGCAACATATGTCAACGCAATAACAAGCATTTCAAGAAGTCGTCCACTCTCCATCCCATTCCAGTTAAGAACAAAGTATGGCATCGCATTGGAATTGACCTTATTGGACCTTTACCAGAAGTATGTGATTTGTCTTGATCATAAAACATCAGTTTGTTTTTGCTGTTCATATTCCTATTTAATTTTTATAATATTGTTCAAATTCCTAGACACATCGAGGTAATAAGTATCTCATGACTTGCACTGACAGCTTCAGCAAATGGCCAGAAGCGAAACCTTTAAAAGACAAAACGGCTATTGGCGTAGCAGACTTCCTCTACGAATTACTGACACGATATGGAGTAGCTGAAGTTATCATCTCCGATCAGGGTCGAGAGTTTGTGAACCAGATCAATGAAGAGCTCTTTCGTTTGACAGGAACTGATCATAGAATTAGTTCAGCATACCATCCCCAGACTAATGGTCTAGATGAGCACATGAATCAAACAATCAAAACTTGTCATTTCAATGTTATTTCCAATTGCTTGGCAAAGGGATTTTACAAACTTGTCAAAGATGGAAAGGAGTTGAAGAAGTCATACAATGGTGTTCGGCTGAAGAAATATGCTAAACCATCAACAGTAAACGATGCAGCTGGCTCGAGAAGCAAAGATACTGTTAATCCAAATGTTTGGTTACCTGGACTTGGTCTCACTGCGAAAGATAAGGAGACTATACAGAACAATTCAAAGCTTGACGACAAAGTTATTAATGCTGCACAGACGGTCTTAAAGCAGCAATTTCCTAGTATCTCTGGTTGACAAGACACCATCCTCAGTCAAACCTCCTCCGAGTCAATTCCTGTAGATTCTGTTCAAATCCACCATAATCCAAAAAGAGATCACTGGGTCTGTTCATCGTCTGTCCATGGGAACATACAGGTATTCGACAGCTTGTTCGAGACCTTAAGTGCCTCAATGCAGATTCAACTTGCAGAGTGTTATCGATTTGCTATCAACTTCAATGTCCTTGAAATCGAAGTTCCTTCCATTCAACGACAAAGTGGCAGTATAGACTGCGGACTTTTCGCTATTGCGTTTGCGTATGAGTTAGCGTCAGGAAATGAGCATACTATACAAAGCAAACAGTTCAAACAACATCGCATGCGAGATCATTTGATCAGATGCCTCGAGAATGGCGAGTTCAAGCCTTTCCCAGCACAGATTAACAACAAGCGGAAAAGAGAAGATCCAAACATTTTTGAGATCGAATTGTTTTGCAATTGTCTTATGCCTGAAGTGAGCGACGACATGATTTTGTGCGATTTGTGCGACCACTGGTTTCACTTCGGTTGCGTGAATGTGAAAGGTATAGAAGGCAATGAACAGTGGTTGTGCCCCAAATGTACTCCTCCAGCATCTTGAACAATGAACTTTTATTATGAAATACTGTCATCTTTATACAATTAAATTCTTGTGCTAACTTTGCTTGCAAATGGTTTTTATATAAATATATTTTCTTTCAAAGATGAGCCTTTGTTTTTGTCTTTCATGTGGGGGACACTATCCGTGGCAAAGTAATTAAAGGGGACACTATCCGCTAGCGGATACTGTCCGAGGGGGACACTATCCAACACGTCATCTAACAATATCAATAAACTTCAATCAGTGCAGAACTTCGCGTGCAGAGTTATATCAGGGGTAGGAAAGTTCGATCACATAACTCCGGCGTTGCGCGAACTAAATTGGGTGCCAGTGGAAAAGTTATTATTGGAAAGGGATACTGTAATAGCTTACAAGTGTTTTAATGGACTTGCACCTGACTACCTAGTAGATAAATTTATAAAATTGAAAAGCCCTTAGGGGAACACGCAATAAAGTATCTATCTATCTATCCGCGGGGGGGACACTATCCGCTGTGACACCGGAATACCCAGAGAAAACCAACAACTTTCGATAGATCTTTAACTCATTCCAATAATCCAACACCAATATTGCAAAGAGAAGCACCATTTTATATAATCTGAATTGTGGGGCTTGCATATTTTAGGTTTGCTTTGATTCAGAAAATGTATTAAATCCTTGAAATATTAAAGATTTTTTGCTTTTACAAACACAAAAAATTTTGGTTGTTTGCTTTGCTATGTGGCTATTCAATTACGGAAAACTAGTCATCGGATTTAATTATGGAAAATCAGTCATGTTTTAGTATGCTTGTAACAGCTGTGAAGAGTCATTGGTATATAAAGGGTACCAATCTATTATATACAGATAGAAGGGGATGGAATCAACCAAAACACTTGGTTTTTATAACAACAAAGATTTTCGCTAATAAGACATATTGCCCCCACAGCTCTTGGCTGACTTGATTACCCTTCCTTGAGGAGTGATTGGCATCTTTTAAAGCACAATCTTTATCATCAATACACCCTTTCAATAATTAAGTCATTTGGGCTGGGAGCCTCGCTCTCATGAATCATGAGTCAATCACCTTATAATCAATTTAAGCAAAGCTATAAATTGCGGTTAATGGAGTAATATGTTCTGAAGGCTCTATCTGCCCGAGGGTGTTTTCAGTCTGCCAACGCATCTGCGTCACAACAATTAATCCGTACCAGGTACGTACAAGGTCCAAGTACCTTGACAGAACAAGGGAACCGTTTTCTAGCCCTGTTAATATTACAAAATATCTGATAAATATCGAACTTTGGCTGCTAAGCCAGGGCGCGAAATAACGGCCGGTCAACGGACAATGTCCGGCCAGAATGCGGAATTGTCCGCTCAAATTCTTACCTTGCCGGTCATTTTGACAGATCACTTTCGGTAAAAAAAACCAAACAACTAATCTTCATTTGAATTAATAATCAAAACAAAGTTGTCAAGCATTATAATTAAGAACCATAACATGTTGTCCAATATCTAGCGGGAAAAGAACTTCAATGTACGCCAGCTTTCCCACGCAGTACGTCACAAAGCCCATGGCCATGCTTTTGGCTTAAGAGTTAATTAAGGCCATTGTTTCAGCGCAGTGCAAGTTGTTTTATGTGAAGGAGTTTTTAATTACTGATTACAGTAAGGCTCAGTTTTTGTAATGCTATACTGGGAAAATAGTCACATTTTTAGGGGTATACTTTACTATGCTTTAAGCTGAATAATTTGACCGGCCAGAAATTCGGTATGTCCGAGCTAAAATTGAATTGGTCGGTCACCTTGACCGGCGACCCTCCAGCCGTTATTTCGTGCCCTGTAAGCATGTGACCAACTGATGCAAACTTGGGATTAACCAATCAGAAATTATCCTGAAGGTTTTTTCCTTCACGTGCATACGTACAATGGCCCCCTCTTTGCGCAAGGACTTTTGATCGCAATGTCGACGTGCACTGCTCATTCGCAAGACTTTAGCCAGTGCATTAGCATCTCTGGCAAAATTTTTGGCTAAAATTTAAGGGACGAAACCTTGGCAAAGAAGTGGAAATTTAAAAAAAGCAACAGACCAATCTTGGAACAAATGGCAAAGCAATGCGAAAGATCACAAGGACGACGCAGTTTCCCTGAGACGCACAAGATCCCATGCATGCAGTGTTCCAGAACCAGAATGTTGCCGCTTGCAATCCACGTTCTGTGACCTCAAACGGAGTGAGTTCGTTCCATATTGTTTATATACTTCTCTAATATAACATTCTTGAATTTACTGCTATATTACACTATTAATATATAACTTTATCTCGCTCTTCTGCTGTACAACACGAGTCACAATTTGTATTGTATTAGTATGCTATGCATTCGTGCCTACTCAAGGTTACGTGCTATCCTATTATCTCCAGTTGCATGCTATTGCTATACTTTGTTTAATTTAATACCATACAAACAAGACACGTAATTAACTGCATATTTAGATTAATATTGTATGCGAACTTGTGTCGCATCCGCTATTCGCTCAGGCGGGAACTATTTTGGAATATCTTAGGCTAGATCTGTTATAACAGCTGTAATACAGCCTTATCGTACTGCTACTTTATACACACGAGTCACGATTCATAATGCACTGTTTGCTGCATTTCACTTAATTTCCTGTGCACAAGTCTTAACACAGTTCTATAGCTATTATTGATACTTTGTATCATGCCAGCCATACGAACAACATGTATTCAACTACAAAAAATTACACGCAGTACAAAGACGTGGTTTTTCTTGTTATATGAGGATGGTTTGTCATAATATAAGGACGGTTTTATTATCCTAGTTGCAAGGACGGTTTATCCTAGTTATAAGGACGGTTTATCCTAGTTAAAATGATTGAGATGTTCATATATAAACCGACCTCACCAGAACCCAACTAGAAAGGTTATGCTGTAGCAAATTAAATGTTTTCTTTGTGCAGATGTATATTTTGTTACACTATACACCATACATATACCATGGCTTACACACAGCTTTATCTTACTTTCCTTAAATTCAAGCCACACATGGCTGTGTATTTACTAAGAACTATGGTGCTATTGTGACTTGTGAGTCGAATAACTCGAAAAACTGCATCTGCGTCGCATCACGAGCTATGTATAATAAGATTACTCAGTTATTTTTCATTAATCTCGCTGGGGAAAATCCCGCACTTTTGGAGTGTCATATAACCAATTTGCGCAATAGTTTTACCCTACACATATCATATACACGGCGTATATATATAAACACGTCATTTTAGTTGACCTGCATCTGGGAACGAAGGCGGACTTATGGCCTCATTAATATCATTATCGAGACGTAAGCATAAGAAAAAATTGCTGAATCTTACGGGCTGCCGCTTTTAAATTTGCATGCTTAGGCAAGTACTTGGTGTTGTTAATATTGAGTGTGACTGAACGGGACTATAGTTATACTAATATACTCGCATACGCAACTATTTCTCGTAGCAAGATTCGAAGAGAAGATGGGTTCCCCACGCTCTTCTCAGGAAAAAATGTGACTGAATGACTTCATGCATGTATACAGTTTATTAGTTGATGTTTTGCAGACCTCGGTCAGTCATCAGGTCACAACTCGCAAGCCAGAAAGGAATTCATACATCTCGTAAATCCGCAATATTCTTTATATATATGAATAGGGCAATGCTAAGGGCAATTGTACATTGAAGTGGAAATATTTCAACTGTCAAAATCATTTGCCTCTAATAATAACTGCTTTACTGGCTATAATTATACTGCCATTGGATTGCACATAGGTAATAATACTAACGACTTACAATATCATCGCATACATATTTAAAAGTGCCAAAGACAAAGTCACAATAACGGTGTACTATTTGTAATTGTAGACTAGCTGGCAATAATACAATTTGCCTGAAGATATCTGTCAATAGGAGATTAGTTCTGCACTTTAAACACCTCTGAAAAGAAACGCAATTGTGTTTCGGTTATTTTCTCTATGGTTGCCAATGCACGCGATTTACCGTTACGTACATACATGTAGTCGCTAATACGACTACGACAAGCCCCCAATGTAATGTGGGTATAATTCTTCAATACATGAATGTAAAGTTGTGTTCCCCATGTTGTATAACACTTAGTGAAACCCACCTATATAATACCAGCCTGTGCATCAGTTGGATGCATAAACACCCAAAATGCATGGCAAACACAATCTGAGAGAAACACTATACTGTTTCAAGTTATCATATATGTACTATACAGTACACTCCCGCTAGATCCATCATGCATGTATGCTCGCTTTCTGTGCCTGGTAATGGAATTTGCTGAGGCAAGCAATAATTGATTTTCATCCATATCATATAACAAATAATCCGCATGCATAAGTTGCTTTATAAAGCGGTTTAGTTGGCATTAGCGTATATTCACTAACATAATCAATCAGATCTTGGATTTTGAGGAACGAACATTGTATAAATGAATACGAGTCCGTTTTTCGTCCTTAGATGCAGGTTAACTATTCAGTTATCTTTCCACCTATACATTCATCACCTAGTTCCACAAATTTCTCACTGTACAGGTAGAGCACTCGTTTTTTCTCTTGCGTCTTTCCTTTTGTTTTTAAGGCGAACAACAAACTCGAATGCGTTCTGGTGATGTTCACTCCTGCTATCTGAACCGAAGACTATTCCCGGATTGCAGCATCATCGCTCGATTATGAA